GAGGTTGTGTTTGGGGGAAGAGGAGAGGGGTAGAAGGGTTTCCCATAAATGTGAGAGTTGGACAGTTGGTGTATTAAAAGAAAGGCGCGGATCATTATTCGCGCCTTGCGTGTCAGAAATCCCACGAAGGCGCAGATGACCATTTGTGCATTTCTTAACATGGAGCCAACTCAGACGCCATCCGCGCCTTTTTTGACGTGGCACCAGCTCGAACAGAATCCGACAAAGGAGCGGAAAGCGATCCGCGCTTTATTAGAAATGATAATAGATCAATAATATTAAGAGAAAATGTGTCTGACAGGTAATTATTAGATATACGAGTGATATTTCGATAAAAACACCAAAACCTCCTATTTTGTTTTAAAGTGAGTTTTTGAAATGGTCGGAGGTGCCGTCAGCATGAGCCAATGCACAAAGGCAACATAGTAAACGCGGGGAGAAGACAAGACACAAATGTAATTAAAAAGGTTGACCACTTTCGTGATTAACATTCAACAACATGGTCAATTCGGTATCCTACTTATAAATCACGCGAGGGTTGTCCTTTCCCTTCGCTTTGCCCAATAAAACCGGAAAATGCCAGCTCTCCATATTCCAGCACAGCATTTGGCAGCAAGAGAGGAAGGCGAATCAGCCAGGAAACCAAAAACCTCAGTTTCTCTTGCTTCCATTTCTCTAAATTTCTCCGTTTTCTTCTTCACGGCAATGGCTTCGCTTTCTGATTCTTCCAAACAATCCCTTCTCCCTAGCTTCCTTTACTCTTCGCCTAACTCTTTCGCCCTCGATCGGCTCCTCAATGCCAACAACTCTGTCTTCGGCGTTTCGCGCTCCACTCACTCGAATCTCCCGCCGCATCATCCTTGCCGTCGATCAAGTCGAGGACGTTTATGATCCCCGCGCCCAATGAGCCTGGGAAGAGGATCGAGATGTACTCGCCTCAGTTCTATGCTGCTTGTACATTTGGCGGTATCCTTAGCTGTGTCTCACTCACACGGCGGTTACTCCTCTTGACCTCGTCAAGTGTAATATGCATGTATATATTTGTAGATCTGGATCACTTCTATTTACCTTCTTTTGAACTTACTTTGTAATTGATTTTAAGATTAGGTCTGTGCTAAGCTTGCTGCTCACTTGAGAATTCTGATCGGTGGTTGTTGCTTGTTGGATCTGTGCCTGGTTTCTTTTACTTCTTCAGTTCGATTTTGATGCCTTAGGTTTTACTGCTTGATTTCTGGATATGCGGAACTTTATAGGAGTATCACTTTGATTACACTCCGGATTTTTAATGTTCTGTCCATGTCTCTAGGTCTTCATCCCGTAATGGATACTTCTGTTTGCTTTTATTCTGTTCATAATGCCGTATTGGTTTCCTTCAGGAAGGATGTCCTGAACCTAAGTTGGGAAGTTATATGAATCAAGGTCATTAGTATAGTAACCCCCCTCCCGATTTCATTCTCGAGGGAAACCAATTCATTTAATGCCTTCCAATCTTCCTATTTTAAATATTGTAAGAAATCATATAAAGACAATTCTTATTTAAGATAATTATTTGTGCAATAGATTATAGATAGCTATTTGTACTAGTATTAATCTACCATAAGATATCCCATTCCGTGAATTACTGCATTTATTTGAGTGATCTACACACAATGAAAATCGCTTCTTCTCATGTCTCTGATTTGATGAGCCGAAACCGTAAAATAGGAAATGATTTTGCTACATGTGGGGGGCGTCATTCGCTCTTCGGATGGTAGTTGGATCCTTGGATTTGCTTAAGTACTAGGAATATGCTCTATCGTTGAGGCGGAGTTATGGGGGATACATGAAGGATGCGTGGAATCTTGGTGAAAGACAAATCATGGTTGAAACGGATAGCTTGGAGGTTATTCGGATGTTACAGGGAAACGCTAATAGAGATTCGGTATTTACTTTGTTGGATCGAGCTCGTGTTTTATTAAATCAGGAATGGTCAGTTACTTTGAAGCGTATTAACCGGGATGCGAATAAAGTGGCCGATAAACTAGCAAGGTTAGCAGCAGCAAGAGGCGATGTTCAGACAGTTTTCTACTGTCCACCGCCGGAAGTACTTAGTTTAATACAACAATATTCTTTTGATTGTAATGTGGCAGTAGCACACTAGGTGCAATCCTACATCTTTATTTCATCAAAAAAAAAATATTTATATACTCTAATTTCTATTAAAAAAACTGTGTTTCTTAATAAAATATATATTAATATGTATATATGATCAATTACATATGTAAAAATATGTTTATACACAAACATGAATTTTAAAATTACTAATTAGATTAAATAATTTAATATAATGAGTAATTTTTTATGGTAATTATTAAAATAATAAATGGTTAAGAAAAAAATATTCAAAATTTTGTACCAGTACGAGCCTTTACACACCAATACTGGTTGGTATTGACTGGTACCTAATTATTCGGTACCAATTAAGTGCTGAACAGTATGTATTGACCGGTATCCAGTTCCATATGGTATCAATCAACATGATGAATACTTGTGTTATTTGTTGCAGTTGATCTGTGGTCATTTTTAATTGTACTGGTTTGTATTTGATCAATGATACAATAATTTTATAATATTACAATACATCTTACATTATGGATTTGTTATTCTGTTAGCTATCTGATATTTTAACACGGTGGATTTTCAAAAGTGACATCTGAATTGTTGTGTTGCCAGATTGACCCTGCAAAATACAAGAGCATCTCATCTGGTTTTGGGGTCCTGCTGAAAGAGCAAGGATTTAGGGGCTTCTTCCGTGGTTGGGTTCCTACTTGGTTATAGTGCTCAGGGTGCTTGCAAGTTAGGATTCTATGAGTTTTTCAAGAAGTACTATTCTGACCTTGCTGGACCTGAATATTTTGCCAAGTACAAGACCCTAATCTATCTTGCTGGTTCTGCATCTGCTGAGGTGATTGCTGATGTTGCGCTCTGCCCTTTTGAGGCAGTCAAGGTCTGGGTTCAAACTCAGCCAGGTTTTGCTAGGGGTATGTCAGACGGATTTCCCAAGTTCATCAAATCCGAAGGTGCTTCTGGGTAAGCTTCTTAGCATTGTTAAATGCTCTGTGTAAGTAATACCGGGAAATGTCTGTTTGATTGAGTTCTGAACTCTTTGCTTTTCAGATTGTACAAGGGTCATGTTCCTCTTTGGGGCCGTCAGATTCCATGTAAGTTTGGCATGCACATTTTTCATGGGCAATTACTAGCTTTAGTACTTCCCTTTATTTTTTATTTTATTCTTCCTTTTTATCTTTTTAACGCTCCTTTTCTGTGGTTGCTTTAGCATTTGTTAATTAAAACAATGGGTACGATTATTTAGACATTCCTCCTCCCTTTCAGATACCATGATGAAGTTTGCTTCTTTTGAAACCATTGTTGAGATGATATATAAGTATGGTATTCCCACACCAAAGGACCAATGCAGCAAATCTTTGCAGCTTGGTGTTAGTGCTGGTGGTTACATTGCTGTTGTGTTCTGTGCTATCGTTTCTCATCCTGCTGACAATCTTGTCTCTTTCCTCAACAATGCCCAAGGGGCAACTGTTGGTGATGTAAGTTCTGAAAACCTTGTATGATTATTTTGAGCTTTAATAATTTCAGTTTTGAACAATTTTTACTTAGTATGTTGTCTTTTGATGATGCAGGCTGTGAAGAAGCTTGGTTTATGGGGTCTGTTTACCTGTGGGCTTCCACTCCGTATTGTGATGATTGGAACACTAACCGGAGCTCAGTGGGGCATATATGATGCTTTAAAAGTGTTTGTGGGACTGTAAGTCATTCCTATTATTGCTATAAAGCATCATTGTCTCGTTTTTCAGGTGGTTAGAGTGAATGAATGCTTATGGGTTTCTTGTAATCTTTCAGACCAACCACTGGTGGTGTTGCTCACTAAAATATCGGTGGAAGGTCAACTACAAATGATTCTAATAGGCATGCAAAACCTTTTCATAGGGTTAAATAAAAAAAAATAGAGCATAGACTGCTGAAAATTGCTTGAATGAGTCTCAAGCATGTGGAAAATATTTTTTTTGCATTCGGAACTTTTATCAACTTTTTTTTTTGTTTCGACTGGTGTGGTTTTTTTCGGAGGATGGATTTGGTCCCATCCTAACTTCTGGAGAGTATTTTTTTTATGGTAGTTAGATCATATATAATGAAATTTCTTTTGAAGATCAACAGCCCTTGTAGCATTCACCTAAACTATTGAGCAGACTGATTTGCCTCCTTAAGCAAGCGTCAAAATGTGCTGAGAGATTTTATTGTTGCATTAATGCATATGGTATAATCTCTTTTGTTCTTTCTTCTACGCATGTGTCATCTTCTTTTTTTTATAATGTTGCGCCTTTTATTCAGTGTTTGTTGGGTCATAGGAAAGGAATTTGATTTCCTTTAATTCAGGCCTTTAGATCTGAGGTTTAGAGTAGTGCAGATAGGAAAAAAATTGCGAGGGAAGCCTTGTCTCTTGTTTTTGTGAAATTTAGTTCGCTCTTGAATATAATAAGGTTTTTTGTGATTATTACGAAATTTTATACATAGTATCTTTTGTTAATAACTTGCAATAATCGAATATCTGCCTATTACGCAGTCCAAGGCTTTAAGCCCGTTCGATCTAATTTTTTGCACCATTGATATGTAGCACGTAAGCTAACTTCTCGACAAGGTTAACGGAGCTAATTTGTTTTGAAGTAAAATAGGGACGTTAGGCGAACGGTTATTAAGCACGGTAAGAACGCCAGTTTGACACCTTTTGTTTCGGAGAAAAGATGCTGCTAGTAGATTAATATTATTATTATTATTTTGAAAGAAAACGGGCCTCATTAAAAACTCCTTCTAAGACCTATAAGGGAAAAGAGTGCCCTTGGACATTGTAATGCCAGAAGAAAAATCAATTGATATAGCAGACGTAATAATTTCGGGACAAACTGAGTCAAAATACAAAGCATTTTCAAAACGGATAGGTGGAGAGCTCAATTAGCCAAAGTATGTGCCACAATATTACAAGTTCTAGGAACAAAACACACTATGTAATTTAAATTAGCATCTAAAATTCTACGAGCTTCCCGAAGATGATGACCCAATGTGGACAAGTCCTCATTTGGTCGAGATATCTTGTTGACTACAAACGTTGAATCTGATTCAAAGATTACATGCGTCCATCGATACTCACTTGCCAAAGAAAGAGCTGCATTCAGAGCATGAATCTCCGAAAGCCCAACTTCGACACAACCTGATGACGATGCAGCCATACCACCAAGTATCTGGCCAATAGCATCTCGGGCAATAACCCCCACAGCCGTTATACATCCAATAGACTCAAAAGCACCATCCAAATTGATCTTCACATACCCTGGAGGGGGAGGTTGCCACTTCGCTTGATCAATACACGACGCTGCTCCTGGAGAAGATCGCACAACTCTCGCTCTCCCCGACGCATGCTCCCTGGCCAATAAGTAGTCGTGCTGAAGGAAGGCAGCATTGATGGCCAATATCAATGGGGTTGAAGCTTGTTATCATGCACTTTAGAATTCCTCCCATTCTAGAGGTTTTAAAACAATACAAGGAAACAAGCAAGGCCAGCTAGATCCAAATTTGTAATCACTAAATCTAACTAATCCTATGGAGAGACAAGTTGGCTAGACAAGAAAACATCCTTCATATACTAGCACAAATGAAAGTTTCTTGGGCATAAGAGCCATCCTGTAAAATATGAACTATCATATATTCTTCTAAGCCACACATTAGACAAAGACCTTCACTTAAGCTAGCATCACGTAACCGTTTACCTACCGGTAACCCACCATGGGCCACTCTCCAAGCAAAGATCCTAATCTTAGGCATGATTTGTAATTTAGCAACCATTTTTCCAAACTTTGGAAGCAGACGACTGAGAATGAGTAGGACGTTGAAGCCACTAGTAACCCGAACGGACAGAGCATATACCAGAATCAGAATTACCCCATATGAACACATCCCTTTGAATTGGAGCAATGGATGTCGTAAAATCAAGTTAGAGTCAATGGCGTTAAAAACATAGCATACCTTTGACTCGTTCCAGCGAGATGTTCTAGCGTTCATGCAATGCCATGCATGTAATTGTTGCACGGGGATAGATGAGTAATCTCCGGTAAGGGAAACTAACTTCGATCCACCCTATTTATCCTTGGTCATATGGAAGTAGCTATCCCGTCCAATCCTCCAATACAATGCACCTGAAAAGCCTGAATGGTTTTGTGAATACCTTTTCATGCATAGGAGTTATTGTTACATGTCGCAACCGGTTTTTGTCCGGGTACGAATTTTTACTTGGCGGGAAAACTAAAATGAATAAATAAATGATTTTGATTTAAAAAAATATTTTGGGAGTCACCATTGACCTTTTTGGGTTAGGTAGGTCAAATACCTAAAAACAATCTTTGAAAATAGTTTTTAAGAAAACATAATTTAAAAGATAAACTGATCTGCGTATAACCAAAAATATTTTTAGTAAAGAAGGGATTCGTGGTCGATTACGTTTAGGGAAGGATTAGCACCCCTATAATGCCCAAAATTGATACTCATTAATTATAAATTGTCTCTATTATTGGAAATTTAAAAATTTAAAAATATATTTAATTTATATTCATGTTATTTCAAATTTATTAGTATAATTTTAAGAAAATATATTAATATCTATATATGTTTTTTAATTTTTATAAATAAGATATTTATTTAATTAGAAATATCAGAAAATGACTTATAGGTGCTTTAAGACAGCCCATTTCTTAATATTAAAAAATAAATAAATATTAATAAAATATTTCTCTAAACATAATTAAAATAAATTAATATATAATTTATAAAAATAGGATATTTATTTATTTAAGAATATCAGAAAATGACTTCTAGGTGCTTTAAGACAATACATTTCTTAATATTAAAAAAATATTAAAATATGATTATTTTTCTTAAAAGTAATTTATATAAAATTAAATTTATAAATAGGATTTTTATTTAATATATAAGAAAATAAGTAAATAAATATTATTTATTATATATGTTTATACGACTACATAATAATAATAACAATAATAATTAAATATATAAACATATAAAATTAAAATTAAAATGACTAAAATAAATAAAATTAAAACTATATTATTATAATATAAAAAGTAATAAAACTTGTAAGATAAATGAAAGTATTTGAAATTAGTGACTAAATTATAATATATTAAAATTAAATACCCTAATTCATAATTAGCTATTTAAAATTTCAGTGGCTAAACATGTTATTTTACCTATTATTAATTTAGTGACTAAAATAAACATATATTAAATTCAAATATTAAATTAAAATAAATTAAAACATGCTTTCGAGACTAAAATATTATTTAACAAAATTATAATGGTTATTTCGATTATTTTACCTAAAATCTATATATTTATATTAGTGACTAAATTATAATAAAACAAAATTAAAAGACATAATTAAAACGTATATGAATTGATTTCAGTGACCAAAATGGAAATTTACAAAGTCAGAGTGATTGCGCATGTGGTTTGACCATGCAAGAATTTACACAAATACCCCTCATCAAAACGATGCAGTTCGGGGAGGGTATTTAAACCCTTTTAAACCGGCCTTAAGGGTCATTGTTTCATTTCTCAGGTTTTGTTTCTCTCTCTTTAGAGAGAGAAGCTCTCGTTTGATGGAGATAAACTATCGGCCGACAGCCGTCGCCGACCACCACCGCCGGCCACCGTCAACGGTGGTCGAAATTCCCAAATTACCCTAGAACGTAGGTTTTGACCTCCTAAGGCCGAATACAGCCTCTGTTTTCCTTAAATCCCCTTAGATCGACGTAGATCTAAGGTTATTTACCTTCGATATTTTGGTTTTTCAGCGTTGAATTGAGGCTCTGGCGACTGTGTGGTGTCCTCGGTGGTAAGTCTCCTTCTCTCTTCTCCTTTATTTGGTTGCTGTGAGTTTATTTTTCCGTTGTTGTTGGTGTTGTTTGGCTTGTTGGGTTTCTGTCGTGGTTGTTTCTCCTCGGGTTCTTGCTCGTTTTTTTTCTCTACAGGATCGGTGGCTTTTATAGCCACCACGATACTGCTCTCGGACCGGTCAATAGAGGAAGCTTCGGTGAGTCACCAAACTATGGTGGTGACTGACCATATAGCAGAGACGTGGACGGCCGGCGTAGAGCTTCTGGAGACTTCGGTTGAACCGTCGTGGCAGTGTGGATTATCGGCAGCGGCTGGACGAGGCACCTGGCAGAGAAAACGTCGGTAGCGGCGGCTGGATTTGGAGACGGCTTCGCGTGGTCCCTAGGGATCATAACCCTAGGGTTTCGTCTGAAACTATCTGGGTTGTTGGATCAAAGCCAGATCTAACGGCTGTGATGTTGAGGCAGCTGGCTAAGATGATGGAAACCTTAATATGGTTTTAGGGTTTGGATGGGCCGATTCTAGTTGGGCCTGGCAGGGTTGGACTTCTTGTAACTGGATCGGTCCAGTTTTGGTTGGGCCTGTTTGTAATAATATTAATAGTAATAATAATACTAATAAATAATATAATAATAAAATAAAATAATATTAATAATAATATAATAATAATATAAAAAATAAAAAAATGGATAAAAATTAGTATCTTCATTCATATCACCATTTGGGTAGTATTTTGCTTTCCATACCCTTTCCAACAAGCAATATGGGTGTTGAATTAACCATCATACATGTTTACCAAGCATTGTTGAGTTAAATTACTGTAGATCACGAAAACTGTAATACTCTCAACCCGTATTAAAAACCGAATACGAGTCTGAGGGGTCACATTGACTTTTCAAAACATTTACTTGTATACAATAGTGAGTAATTTAAAACTTTTATACCATATAACTTATTCAAAACGTTTACAAAACTATTCAGAGCTTATACAATATATTCTTTTGAATGCATGCCAACTAGAACTTTATATATAAAAAATACATATTATTCACTTCTCTTCTGATCTGACTTTCAGTAAGGAGAATTGACCTGTCTTGTTCCACATTGCTCTTCACTCTTCTTGAAACCTACGTGTAAATCACTTACATGCTAAGTCTATGACTTAGTGAGGAAAATAAGCATATAATGTAAACTATAACTTGTAATCATGCATGAACAATTAATGCTACCATAGCATACCCAAACATATATTTGTTCATCCATCAAATCCATACATGCATATAATTATCTTCATTCCTATCATTATCATTTTATTATCATTCATATTTCTATTCTCTTGTTTCTATGATTTATTATGTTCATATCATATATCTTATAACATATACAATAATCACTAACATGCATATATCATGTCATATAATTCATATCCCAAAACATACATATCCCATACATTGTATTCAATATCATCTCTTATTAGCCCATGTACATATGTGAGAACTGTAGATATGTGAGTCTATTAAGGTTGTACACTATGCTATTACCACAACTCGTATAATTCCCACTAGGGGCGCATAGAATTTGTCCCGAAGGACCATGTAGATGTCCCAAAGGACTACATATAACACATATGTCCCGAAGGACCGCGTAAACCCTCAACTCTTGGCATACCAACTATACCTCTAGCTCTCAATACACATAACATGGGCATTTTCATTTATCTAATTTCACTATACATTTTCATATCACATGTTCATATAAGCTCATAGCTTCTTTCACATATACATGTAGACATATGGCTTCTTTTCATGTAATTCATATCATTTTTCATATAATTCACATGTTCACATATCTCTTTTCATATTCTCATAGGATCACATAGCTCATATATACATCTCATAGCACATACTTCTCATAGACATATAAAAACATAGATCCTCATCACATAACTTATATTACATGTTCATATAATCATTTATATCTATACCACATAGCTTATATCACTTTCTCTTGTCATTACATATGTCATTATTATTTACATAGTTTATGATCATATAACTTATATCACAGAGCCACAACATCACATAAATCATATCACATAGAAAAGAACATAACAATACATATTCACATATTAACGGCTACCAACTATACTTATTTTCATGCATTCATAAAATCAGAACATGAAAATAGACTCATCGCAAGTCTAATTTTCATATAATCATATAATATAATCATATGCACTCACCTGGGCCTCACTAAGTTCCAAACCACTTTTATGATTTTCTTTCTTTCGATCGAATCTTAACTTGATAATCGTTCCGAAACTTGTTCGTGCTCGATATCTATATAATCATACATTGATACATATCAGTATCCAATTGATATATTCTAATCTATCATTTCTTAAACCAAAAGAAATGTCTATTTCAATTTCCCCTTGAAGTGCATCGATGCATTCTACAGTGCATCGATGCATTCTTTAACATGTGCATCGATACATTCTTTAACATGTGCATCGATGCACTACCCATGCATCGATACACAAAGCACCTTCGATGTTTTCATTTTAAGGGGATGCATCGATGCACTCCTTATGCATCGATGCACTAATTGCATTCGATGTTTCTTCTTTAAAGAGTGCATCGATACACATTGAATGTGCATCGATACACCTTGCCCAGAATTTTCATTTTAAGCCCAAAAATCATCAATTCTTCATTCAATTCTTCTATTTTAAGCCCCTGTTATGTCATTAAATTCAACTACCATTACTTAAACCAACTTATATCCATGTAAACCATCTTTATCTTCCATATCTCATCATGATTCTTAAAATTTAAGAATCTTACTAAACTTTCAACTTTGTTATTTATCCTTTCTAACTTCATATATCTCTTATTCTTAGTGATGACAAGTCAAATTCCTTCTCAAATTTCACTTATTAACTCTTTTCCAGAAATTTATCTAAAAACTCATTTTCTTTAATCTCTTCTATATCTTCCATCTTGTTGTTTTATAACAAATTAAGCTTTTCTTAAGCTTAATTA